CGATGAGACGTCTGCAGTGACTGTTCATCTTGAAGCGCGGTTGTTTCAATTTACTTTCTTTCGCAACTTTTAGATCACACAAACAATCAATCAGCATTGGTTTTATAGTTGACAAGCTTTTAACTCTGCGAGATGGAATTGTGTAGTTTTTAATATGATCACCTGAGTCCAAATCGGGGTACAGGAAGGCTTTTCTTGAACTGGAGGGGTGTTTCGTCAGTACAACAGGTTTCTTACAAAATTTCAAAATGTTTTCTCTTAAACACGTTGTTACTTTTTTTATAAGCAGTATGTTTTGTTTCGACTGCATGGCACCCGAAGTCGTTACAGATGAGTCAGTTCGAACTATCTGAACAAAAGACAGTACACAGGCAGTAAACAGCAGTTTGACCAGGAAAGAGAGCAACATGCCTTGTCCGTGATCTATGTTGCAGTGGTTGTTTTTTCTGTGGAGACCATGCACAAGATAAATTATTATACAACGCAGTCTTGGACATAGATTGTAAGTAAGTAAGTTTATTCAGTGTTTAAGGCCATTGGCCCACATCACATCGTATAAAACACTCATTTGATAAATAAAGTTTCCATAATGAATAAGTACAGGTTGTGCACATATCTCTCATCATGGGTCAAACATTGCATATTTCTGTCACTGGGCCGAGTCAGGCTGGGAGGGATTAACAATTTCCTTTGATGGACAAAGTGTGAACAATAGAAAATAAAGTGAAATTCATCTTCAATTTCATGAGAGTTACACCTCTCACATAAGGGCTAATTAGTTAATAAAACGGCTTTTTAAGAGAGAAAATATTATACTTGAGACAGACTTCTTCCTCTATGTTCTGCACAGAATGATCAACAAGTTTACATTTTACTTCACTGGGAAATAGTCTAGTACTTCCAACTTTTTTTTAGAAAACCAGGCATATCCAAAAGCCAGGGAAAATAATAGGTTTTTAACTTTCGTAGCTCAGTTGACTCTGCTCAGTTCACAGGAACGATATAATTGCATGTAACATTTCTTTGGATATCTGTCATTTTCTAAGTGTATAAGTCTGCACCAGAATTTAATGACCCAATGCTTGTAGTCAGAACATAAGTTGGTTCTTCCCACTTCTCTTTGAACTAAACATGTGGGTGTAGTTTTGCCAAGACCCAAAAGTTGAAAAAGGCTTTCCAGAACTTTACCTGAACATTATCAATCATGTTCCAGTTTTTGATACCCCGAATTTCAGAGTAGTAAAGCAGCATTGGTTTAAGTTTTATATCAAAAATGTTTTTTGTGGTTTGGAAATTTAATTCTTGATAAGAACCGAAAAGCCTTCTTGTTCGAGAAACAATCCGTTGAGCTTTACAAGCCCGATTTTCCAGCATTCGTCTCCAGCATAGACGCAATGAAAATGAAATGCCCAAGTAAATGCCTAGGTTACTGCCTCTAAGATCTTATCTTCCCAATACCATCTTTCAGATCTTTTGAGATAGCCTCTATTTCTAAAAACAACAATCTTACTTTTCTCTGTATTCACTTATAAACCCCACATCTGGCAGAAATCATGTAACACATTGGATTTTCTTTTGTAAACCTCAGAAATTGTCGTCAACAAGACTTAGGTCATCAGCGTACATTAAACATAAAACACCATCATTATCATTGGACAATACCTGTATAGCATGGGTATTTGAATCTGAAAAATGTTTTTTAAATTGAGATATAAACAAAGAAGATAATATAGGGCTAAGTATGCAGCCTTGTTTGACACCTGATTTACATTGGAAGTATTCAGTAATATAAGATTTCATGGATCCTCGTTCATCTGAACAGACTTTAACACATGGAAGAACACTTTGATAAATAATTTTCAAAATGGTATACGTTGGTCCAGAACAGCCAAGACTTCTCAATACTGTCCGTAGTTTTTCTATGTTAACCCAGCCAAATGCCTTTTTAAAAAGTCGACAAAACATACATAGAACCTTCCGCCACGCTTTGAGATATATTTTTGGACAAAAAATTGGAGTGATAATATATGATCTATTGTAATTTCATCTAAAACCGGCATGAGATTCAGGGATGAGGTTACCTCCACCACACCATTGTTGCAGTCTTCTATTCAATATGAATGAGAATAATTTACCTTGAACATTTAGTAAACTAATGCCACTATAGCTATTTACATCATTTACGTTTCCTTTTTTAGTGCAAACTAAATATCATAGACTTGGTTCACTGCTCTGGATAGTTGCCTGTGAAGAAAACTGAATTGAAAAGAGATAGAAGAAATTCAGCCACGTCCTGGCAACCAAATTTGTAAAATTCCGGCGATAGGCCGTCAGGTGCACAAGCCTTGCCAGAAGTTAAATTATTTATAGCCAATACGATTTCGTCTCTTGAAATGGGTGAATTTAACAAATCACCAGGCTCACCACAAGGGAAGGCATGAGACTGTAAGGAAACAGATGATATCAAGCTGGTTGACTCGTCATTTCGATTGGCATTACCAACAGACCCGGAGAGGGGGTTAAGCAAATTCTCAAAATAGACATACCATTCTCTGGGTTTGATAGTATTCTTGGTTACCGGGTTTTTACACAAAAGGATATTGACTTGTTTCCAAAAATCTTTCGAATTGCGCTTCAAACAATTCTGAATAATAATTTGAGTTTGTAATTGTGTATGCTGTGATTTTAAAAAAATTTACAAAGGTTTTTTAATTTCTTTTTCAAAGCTAGGTACTTATCTAATGCTTCATTTGAGTTCCAAATATAAAATTCGTGTAATGCTTTGTATTTTTGCTTTTTTGCATTATAGCATTCATTACCAAACCATGGTGATTAGGATGTATACTTTTTGAACCTTTTAACATCTGTAGATTGCATACAATTTTCTGCGCTTTTAACCCAATTTTTCAACACCACAACAGCATCGTTTGTTTTACCTACGTGGATAAGATCAGAAAATTAATTTGAACACTTAACAGGTTGTCCTCTAATGCCTTTACAAGGTCTTCGACGTATGCGTTGTTCCAAAAACATTTCTGGATATCATATAAAAGGTACAAAACTTCTTGTTCTATTGGGTTCCCATTCGATGCCAGGTGCTGTAAGCGTTAGACAGAGAGGAAAATGGTCAGACTCTGATCTAGGGATTATTTTAAACTCTTCAATTGCATCCTGAAACCCATTCGTGTTTACAATGATCTACGACTGACTTGCCCTTGTTTGCCATGCAAGTGATGTTACCTTTCTCGTCTCCACGTGATCTGCCATTCAGTATTTGAAGTTTGTTAATTTTTACAAAACTCTATACGTTGAAGCCCAAATGCATTTGTTTCTAAATCCCGAGACTTACGACCCATGATATCGAAATCCATATCATCTGAGATAAGATCGTAAGTGTCAAATCCATAAAAAATAAACCACGTTATCCATGACACCGGCCCTAGAAATTAAATCCCCAGCAATCAACCAGGAGCCGTGCATTCTCGGCATTGAGAAGAATAGAACTGATGTGGTGCTAGCGTGTCGTACGAGGCGACTAAATGACGAACCAGGTAGTGACTCCTGAAACAGAATCATCCTGCCTCCAGGTCGGGGGTTGAGTCATGAGGCTAACAACCTCTCTCGTAAAAAGAACTGTTACAGAAACACATACAAGCAAAAACCATTATCTCTGCTTGGGTGATCGTGGATCTTCTCCAAATGGAAAGTTTATGATGCAAGGCGGTGAAATCCGAAAGGAAGCTGCTGGGCAGAAGTCTCCACCATCATCCAAGTCCAAGTCTCTTCGGATCGGCTCGTGGAACGTTAGGACCCTTTATGAGGCTGGAAAAACTGCACAAGTTCTCCAAGAAATGCACCGATACCAACTACACATACTGGGAATCAGCGAGACCCACTTGAACCAGTCTGGACAGAAGCGAATGAAAGAGGGGGAGCTTTTTATTTATTCAGGAAATGACAGTGATGGACCACACAGGGAAGGAGTAGGGATGATCATATCAAAAACAGCTCAAAAGACATTCAGCACATGGGAAGCACATGGTCCAAGGATCATCATGGCCTAATTTGGAACTAAGAAAGAACTCAAGGTAAGAGATGGTAGGAAGAAGGTCATTAACATGAACATCATACAAATGT